GTTATAATAAAGAGGATTATGATTTTTGGAGTTGCTCTTACTTGATTTTTGGGGAAAAGTGAGCCATTTTTCATTAAAATAAATTATGCTTTTTTATGAAACTTACAAATAGCAATGAGCAGACGATGGCCAAAATGTTAGAGTCTGGTCCAGTTATTGAGAGCAATGGCTTTAACAACATTGGCCCCACTGTCTGTTGTCATACACACTCCTGTTTGTCCTCTTCTAGAGTTAAGACACTCCAGTAAACCGCTCCTAATATTTTCTCCCATGTGAAGAGTTTTGTATCTTCCAGTCGCTGCCAATGTAGTGCACGGTCAGGCTGATATATTCCACAGTTCAGCTTGGCTTGTCAACATGTCTGTGCAAAAAGCTAAAAAACTCCACTGACAATAGTGTAGCTGCTAGTTTGTCACAGTCGTACACTGAAGGCAAGGATGTCTTTGAAAATATTTTCTGCCTGTTGTATCTTGGTCAAGTTTTTTAAGCAGTTGTTAAAGCACTCCTTTTCCACCGTTTGGACTGGCATCATAAAGCCGAATCAGTAATTTCCATTCCTTTCCTGTCATATGAAGTGCAACTAGTGAGTGCTCCAGTGATGCTCAGTTGAGTCATTTGTTTACTTTTGGGCCAAACATCACCAGCTGCTAGTACCTCCTCCTCGCGTGCTTTCATAGCCTGGTTATACTCAACGGTGTGTTGTTGCTTCAAGTAATGAAACAAGTTTGTCGTGTCTCCACTTTTAGCGCTAACAGTTTTCTTGCATTTTTTGCAAAGTGCTGTGCTTTGTTGGAGGTCTGACCTCTTGTAGCCAAACCACTTCCATACTACTGAAGTAACTCCTTAGGTACTAAATCATCATCAGAGGCTGACAAGCTGCTCTCGCTCTCAGACACTGGGCTTGTTTTGTTGTTGTGCATGTTAGGGAACATAAATCATATGTCATTGCATCACTCCATCATTGATAGCACAAGATGACACCTTTTTATCACATAAAAATTTATACCGGTGTTATAGTGGACGTTATGACATGGCATACCTCTAATCCAGACAATACATTTTGACAAAAATGCTAATTTCCAAATGGACTGCCAACTGTTCAAATTACAGGCATTTTCTGATTTGATTTGCTCAGGAAAACGGACTTTCCATGGACGTGGCATACATCTGGCTTTTATTGTTAGTTTATATTTTTAACACTAGAAACATTTTTATGTACACACCAAATGTGTGATTTATGCAAATGATGTTTTAACTTAATCAGAATGTGCACATATATAATTAAAATATGCTCATTACAGGTGCAGTGATAGTTCTGTCAGGTTTGCTCGGCCGCTCTGGCCTCCCTCACCTTTCCTACTGTCTCTTGCCCAATTACTCTTATCACGTTCACCTGTTCCTCACTCCCTTATCACCAGCTGCACTTGATTAGGTTACTCACTATATTACCCGGTTTCACTCCTCAGTCACTTGCCAGTTCGTTCTAGTCTCTAGGCCAACTTTTCTCCATGCGTTTTCATTGTTTCGTATGTATTTGTCCCCTAGCCAGCTACTGTTTTTGTGTTTCCCTGATGGACTGTTCCTCCTGACCGTGGCTCCACTCTCTCCTCCCAGGCAGGTCAATGCTCAGTTGCCTATCTATTCCACTATTGCCTCCATCTCTCTGTCTCTACCTACAGTAACCACCATCACCGCCGACCAGCCCAGGAGTGACCCAGCCTACGCAGCTCGGCCCAGCTCTCCATCTTCTCGCCTCCTGCGGTTGGTCAAATACCCGGCTACTACTCATCGACAGGACTACGTACTATTTCCCTCTGTGTATTGTTACTCCCTTCATCACTGTATATAATAAATCACTGCATGCACCGAAGTCGGCTACCTGGGTCCGCCTCTTTGTCGTTCGCACACTGACTGGTGCAAACGGCACCTAACAAGTTCCCATCAGCAAAAACCAGCCAATGTGCTCTGTTACAATGTGAATGATAAAAGGAACATTTAAACCAATGAGATGTTATGCTACTGTATGCTTACTTTCCAACATAATATGAAATTGAGTGAATTAATGCTTAATGCTTCATAATGTGCCCTGTGCTACAGAGCTGACACCCGATTTGTGTTCATAAGCGGAGGCCTGAGTCTGAGTGAAGGCATAGATATTCACAGAGACATCCCTGCCTGCACTTGAAGCTCTGCCACAGGATATTGTGACTGCACTCTTTAAGAGAAGCAATAACAGCTCACATTTCATCTCAGCCTGCATTTCTTAAAAGCTGTAGCAGAGATAACCAACCTTTCCTTCCTGCAAAAGTGTCTGACAAAAAAGAAGAAGTACAGAACTGAGGAAAATGTGCTTTAGAACTAATAAGCAAAGAAAAAAATGTATCTAATAGGTAAAGAATAGGTAGACATAGCCTAACTACATCATTGGCTGTGTCAATTAGCTTTTCTATTCAGAATTTGCCAATATGGTGAACTGACCATAACTGAAAGCATAGAAATGAGAAATTATTCAAATCTGAAAGCGGTTTCAAGTTGCTATGCAAATGCTGGACCCTTTGTGTTTAAACAAAATGCTTTGCATAGAAACTGAAGAAACTGTGCATAGAACAGAAACTGTGGCTATACTTAATCACCTTTTTTAGAAGACTGAAACAAAAGAAAAAACTACAATGAAGAAATAGGGTCTCTGTGTATATTTGCTTTTCCACAGCAGTAACTTCTTGTGAATAGCCCCTCACCTTGTGCCAAAGCCATCACATGCTTTTACTGAATTTGCACTTCAAGACATAGGTGTTTAAATTTTGTGAGATAAATGGACATTACATTAGAGGAGCTGCAATCCGGCTACCTGTGGAGGAATCACTGTGAAACTTAGGAAAAGTAATGAATTAAGGGTTTTGTGCAGAATGTCTAGTATAGATGATGACATCTGTTTATTGTACGTCACCTGCTGATACTCTCTGCTGTAACTCTATGAGTTACGACGGGAAACACACGTGGTTTTTGTGAGATACTCTGCTGAACACCAGCAATTAATGATGACACTTTAAATTTTAATGTGTCAGCATTTGCTGAGGCAACTGGGCTAGATGAGTTGAGTAAGTCACCTATGTAACAGGTGCCACATAATATTAATGCACAGAGGCACGTTGCTTCTAACCTGGCAGCCACAGGGAATCAATCACCTCCTCAGCATTACTTTCTTTTGACAAATATGCTCTCACTGGCCAGGTAGCAGAGCTAATGGCCTCCAAAGTATTTCTGTCAAAGGCACAACTCCTATTAATTATTTAGTCACCTGTGCTCTTATGTGGTTGTGCTACCTTACGATATTTACAGTGCTATAGGAGACCGCTTTCTTGCTGGCTTACTTAAGTCCCTGAAGTGGCAAGCTGCTTTTGCATGAGCCATAATTCCATCTGCTTCACTTCTATTCAGAGAAAAAACAAAAAGAAAAAAGCTGCTTTCATCGCTCGTCAAGGAACAAGTCAGTCTTTGCATGCGTGTGAATATGACTGTAGGCCGATGAAGGGTTTGTGTTGTGTTCTAGTAATTAATGAGGCAGGTAGAATTTCATCATTATGCTGTGGTGGAGGGAGAGAGTCGGTTGTTACCTACCAAAAGCATGTGATTGCTTTCTATTTTTTATCAGGTATGAATGTTGTTGCTAATCGTGTGCATAATGATGCATTACTAATGTAGCAAACAGGACAAAAAATATCATAGTTTCTATTCAAAATGTGTTTTAAAATGGCACTGTACAGCAGATACCATGACAAGCCATGTTAAACAAAGCGCACAATGGTGGTTAATCCAGCTGTTACCAGACAACCACTGGCCACCATGCACTTATGGAGTTAATCCCATTTTTCCGCCCACAAAGGGGAAGCAGGGTGGTGGGCTTGGGAGGAGGAAGAGAAAGGGAAAAGGAAAGAGCCGTGCTGTATTCCAGTGAACAAGAAAAAAGTGGGATGAATGAGTTTCCTTTTTGAAAATAGCAGACTATTTATTTATTTAAAACACCCCACCCCCTGTAATCTGCAGTCAGATGTTTGGGATCAGAAATCTATTCTTCCATGGTGTTAGTATGCCATTGCCAGACAAATATATAACAGCTAAATTGTTCTGGCTCATTTGCTTTGTTTTATTTTGTAGACCAAAAAGGTCAATCTGCACAATATAAACCTGCCTAATTTCCACTTAAATGCTCACAACTGAATAACATATCAGTCCTACATAGGATCCTTATATAGGATCCTAGTGAAATCTGAACACAAGTGGTCTTTATGCAAGTCAAAGAACAATCTATTTATGGACCCATCATTGTGAATGGGGGCACTGCAATGGCATTGTCACACTTTAGTAACAAAATTAGAAACAAAGTAAATTGGTAAAATTCTGGAAAATGGGTTTTCCATTATTCCCCTTGTTTCTGTTTGCTTTTATCTAAAAATAATGAATGGATTAAAAAAAATAATTGTCTTCAGAAACAAACTGCAGTAGCTTTTCAATATTTTACTAATATGAACATATTAATTTACAGTACATGAGGTCAACAAGGCAGGTTTTATGGATGAGCCACTGATCTGTAATTTGAATATATGGAAATGAAATGAATCACATAAAACAATACACACAATTTTGAAATCTTAAAACTGTGAGATATAAATGTAAATGTTGTAGAAGTATTTTCAGATTGTAGGAGAACAATTCAACCCCACAACAATAATTAAAATGTATGGTAAAATGTTTGTATGGTGGCCTGATTCAAATGTAGGCATGTCAAACATAATATCTGACATTTACTGCAATAACTATTTTCTCAAATTTTAATAATAGGCCTACGTGGGTTGAGCCTAGGCTTATCTTTAGGAAGTTTAAATTATAACAATATGTGCCTGAACAAATTTTGGGGCGTTTATGTGTGTGTGTGTGTGTGTGTTTAGGGTTATTTAATTACCCACAGCACACGAACGCATCAAGAGCGTCTATTTGGGTCACGTGAGATGCTCCGCTAAGAATGCAGTGACGTGGTAGAGTTCCGTCAGTGTAGCGGTGTCTGACAGCTAGACTGCGCGGGCCAGCAGCTTCCCTGCCCGGCTGAGAAATCAGACAGGGGTCGGTCCAAGAGGAAAGACCCAGGAGAAGACACACGAGAAGGCGCGGACTGACAAACCCAGACGGGAGAGGTGAAGGCAGATCAGAATTTGTTTTTGTCTTTCCTTCGGGAAGCGGGGGGCATCTTTTGGCAGTGACTGGACTCAGAGAGGATATTATCTTTTTTCTGTATTATCTTTTTTATGATTTTTTCAGCTTTCCGAGCACCGAAAAGGACCAGTCGCACTCCTCGCTGCTGTCCTCCTTCCAGCGGATCGGGGTCCGGGCAAAACGTGTCTGGATGCTGTGGAGCTTCTCTTATATTTCTTACATTAAATTACACATCTGGAAAGGGAGGAAATTTTTGGTAAGATTAGGAAACGAAATGTTTAGTGAGGCAGAAGAGAGCTGTGGTGTGTAACGGACACGAGGAGCAGGGGAGGAGGACCAGAGATCAGAAGCTGTGTGGAGCCCGTGGGGATGAGGACAAGCAGGGACGCAGCATATCCAAGGTGTCGGTGTGATTAGAGGGGACAGGAAGAGGCATTAAAGCCCAGGTTGTTTACAGCCCAGGGGGGCGGAGATGGCGGGTAAAGGCTCCCACCGCCAGCCGACCGCAGCGCTGTCAGCAGCATGAGGAGGAGGTACGCAGCACTGAACATCTCGTCAGGTCTCCTCACCCTCATTATTCATTTAGCCTTTCCTGCCCTCCCCTACATCCAGTCATTCACTTTTGCCCCACCCCCCACCCCCCCTTGACTACAGCCGTCCATCCATCAATGCATTTCTATGCCTCTCCCGTGTCCCAACACCCCCCCACATCTCCCCATCAGGCACTTTTTGGACACCCAGTGGCTCCTAAAACATTGGAGAGCCCCCTTAGGGAGATGTTTAAAAGCAGGTGTTCCCCTGAAAAATTAAAAATACTATTAAGATCGTATTACTTACTCCCTAAGAATGAATGTTAGTGATAGCTTTCATTCCTCCTCATTTTTGTTCCCCTACCGGAGAAGGTGCAACCATTAGTCCATTCTGTATTTGTTTACTTAGACTTAAGTTTAGGCAACACCTCATCGCACCTGCCAAGAGGCAAGGCCAGGCGGTTTCCATTGATCCGCTTCAATTAGCAGGGCCTTTTTATCCACTTCATCACACCCAGCTGCCTGAGGTATTTGGCAGTGAAGCCTGTGTATACTTAGAGATATTTGCTAACTGCTGAGATGCACATAAAAACTTTATTAATTAAAACATCAACCAAGCTCACCATCTGGGTGTTCACGCTGCCCACAAGACTATGAAAATTTAATAGGGACTAATTTTCAAACCACCTCATAATATATTGCTGTAGCGTCTGAACCCCTAAGACTCGAAGCGAGTGGAATACTGCTGGGCTTTATCAACAAAGTTAAACAGAAATACTGCTAAAATTAAATTCAGTGGTTAAAAAGTTGGCAGCAGCACAGTGAGGAGAGGCTCTCACTCTCTCCGAGTGGAAGAAATTCTCTGTCATATCATATTTACAACAACTCCAGTGGCACAGAGCTGCCAAAATGTTATTTCCCAAAGGTCTCTTGTATTTTGAGTCCAGTTTTAAATAGCTGTACAATCCTTTGGTATAGTGTTTTTTAAACAACAAATGGATGTTTCTACTTCTATATGACATCTTTTGACTTGTGCGTTAAAGGGTCAGGCACACAAAGTACAAAATGTTTTCCCACTAGTTTTGAGAGATCTGCCTGAGTTCTCTGCTTCAACCACAACACAGTGTATGTAGGTGAATGGGATGTAGGTAAATGGTTATATGAAACTGTGGTGCACACAACTAAAGTTACATAAGTATTTGTAACTTTAGGGCTGTTACTCGGTTCCTGATTACCTATTTTTATTCCATTTCTGACTGTTGGATTCGTATGACTCTACAATGTCAGAAAACAAAACAATGTCCATTACCGTTTCCTGAAATGTCATGTGATGCTGACTAATTATTTGTTGAGCAGCGAAGTGATTAATGGGCTTATGGTGTCAGCTCTAAAATGATCTAATGGCAAAATGTCTTTGAAGATATAATGGTTCTTTAATCTTATGTTCACATACTGTTGTCACTGCGGTTTTCATCAGAACCAGTTTCAGTCAAAACAAATCACCTCCCAACAACTAGAGACCATCTGAGAGGGTTTTGTAATTTGGATGAACTAACCCTTTTGAAATCAAATACGGTTCTGTTGTGTGATGAGGAGCTCCAGTTTCCTGGTCTAGCCTCTAGCAATGAAAAACAAAAAAACACATCCGGTCATCCTGTGTCACTCATCTGCTCTGAAACAGCCCTCCCTCTCTTTCCCAGGGACCCTATCCTAGTTTAGCCAGACATACACCAACACTTTTATTGTTTCATACTGGGGCTAGTTCTTGAACAGAGAGTTTCCGGTGAAAGCTGTACCATGCAGTTTGTGAATTATCAAAAGGAACAGAGGCACTGTTTGTGGATGTTGCTGTTGAATTTTTAAATTTTAGTTTTATTGCTTTGAGCACCACACATTCAGTTCACTTCCACTAAACATGGGTTGTAACATCATTCTCAGACATCTTTCAAAGCCTGAGCAGATAAAACTGAAAAAACCTGCATTAATAAACATATTAGTTGAGTTAGAACTTTTAGTCTTTAAAATGACAGGGAGGAAATGCACTTTAATTCCACTCTAATCCCTGAAGCATGTTTAATAGACACATCAGTAAACAGTGCCACCTGTTGTCTAGTAGTTTCAATTAAAACCTGGACAGATACAGTGCATTAAAAAATATTATTGTCCAGATATGAATAAACAACGTCCAATGTCAGCTGAGATTGGCTCCAGCCAGTCAGGATAAGCAGTACCGATAATGGATGAATAAACAAATGAATACACTCTCTACACCAGTGGCTTCCAACAAGGGGCAGCCTACTTCAGCATATATTATGGAGCAGACTAACTACTTTGACAATGCAGCAATTATAATTTGAATAACAAAGACATATCCACAGTTTCAGGTGTTACAGTCAGCTGTAGCACCTGAACAGCACATCTTGAGACAGAGTGCTTGAAAGTGGTTAGCAAACAAGCAGAGACATCTAAAAGTTACTTCAAACTGAAATGGATGCTGAAGTAATGAATACGTTTTTAAATTTAATCTTTATAAGGTGACACATTTACTCAGTTTATGAAAAGCCCATAAATGACTTTGGTCAAGTAGAACTCCAGGCAATAAAGTCTTCACTGCAATCAGATACTAAACAACAGTCAGAAAATGAGCTGATGAGGGCTGGGGGTTAAGAAGAGAAGAAGAGACAACAGCAACACTGAGGAGAGAGATGTGGACTCACCAACAGCCTCCTGTCTTCCAAGGTGTGGTCTGAACCCAGACTGGGGTCCACGCAAGATTCTTTCATCGATAAGCTTATCTTAAAGTCTGAAAATAATAGTAAACAGATTGAGATGCTTATTGCCATCTTAACATGAGATTAATTAAATAAAATTTGTGAACAATATATATGTTTAGATTGTCCCCCTTTGACCCAAACATCAACATTATCTATTTATCTACAATTGCCCTATGGTGACCGACTGGACCATGTGTGATCTTACTAATGCAGGAATATATCCAAAGAAAATATGAATAATAGATTTTCAGTTTAAGTAAGAGAATAAGGTGTCTTCAAGGGGCACAGAAGCTGTTAATGTCTTGGCATAATCTTAAAACAAGCTCTGGCCATAAACATTTTGTCCTTAAAATAGGCACCATATGGTCTGACTCCATATTCTGCATTTTTCATGGGCAATCATTTGGATATTACTGTGGGGAAGAGGTCTGTGCTCAACCAGGAAGCTGCAATACTACTTCTGGAGTATTTTGCAAGGTCAAAAGATGAGTTTAGCCTTTTTAGTTTCTTCCAACCTACCGTATATGAGCCACATTGCCTAGGTCATTTGTTCCTTCCCTCTCCTACGACTCATTGGAGCATCTTCTGAAATAGCAGCACCACGTTAATAATGGCAACATACATTGCAATGGCGAGCTTAACAGACGTTTGTAAATACGCCGTTAGGATTATGAAATTGTCATGATTTCATTAGGTCGTCACATTTTAGAGGTTTAAGTGTAACCGGGGTATAATAATTACACAAAATGTAATCAGGATGTAATATGTACCCAGAATGTAACCAGGATGTAATCATTACACAAAATGTTTTGGTTCATGTGTAAGTTAGTTCACATGCCTGGTCAGGGAAGCCTCCACTCCACTAGGACTCGCAACTGAGCCATGCTTTTCTTCGTTGGTAGCCGGGTATAAATAGGGGTCGCGCACCTCTCCCACTCTCTTTCCTGCACGGTGTCGAGTGGAAAGAGGTGAGCGCTCCATCCATTTACGACTATTTTACTTTTATCGCCCACCCTGGGTCACATGGGTAAACTTGTTGTGTGTTTTTGTTTAGGAGCGAGCTGAGCACTCACTGGAGGCTAACTGTTTTATGTATTTTTCTTCTATGACCAGCAATAAAGGGCCCCGTGAATAGCAAGTGTGTCGGTCCATGTGTCCCAAAGCTAACACAACGCAGCACGGCCAGTCACCAGAGGGACAGGCGAGGATTAAGAGGACAGTTTAGAGACCCAAAGGCGACCTGTTACATAAGCATAAAAACAACTTGATTACATTTAAAAATAAAAACTACTTGGTTAAGTTTTAGAGATGATTAATACTTGGTTAGGTTTATTTAAAAAAAAAAAAAAAAAAAAATTTAAAAAATTGGCATTAAACCCCCCCCCCCCCCGGGAATGCCCTGGTTTTTTGGTCCC